CTCCCGTTTTTCTGCAATAACTCCGAACTGCTTGACGTATCGACGCCAAACTTTGAGTACCTTCGGCTGCATCAATTTGACACCTTGTGTCAAAATTTGAACTTCGTACCTACCATAGGTCGGCCGGAAATGACGTCAGAGTGACGTCATGTTCGGCCGATTTCGACGCAAAACATTGAACCACGGCAATCGCTCCCAAGAGCTCAGTTTTTAAGCTAGATCCAATTTCTTTGCATGAGAGGACTCAGAATAGACTGCGCTATCAAACTGCTATCTCGGATTTTCGAAATTTTGAAAATTTCGAAAAGTTCATATAAAAAAAATCAAAATTTATATTTTTACATTTTTTTCAAAAAGTTGTTGACTTTTCGAAAAAACCGGAATATATGTGATAGAACGCATTATTATGACTAACTCTAGCAAGTTTTAGCTAAATATCTTCAAAAATGGCCAAGTTATACGCATTATTGCAAAAAATTAACAATTATTAATTTTTCAAATCCATTTTTCAGCACGAATTTGACATCGTACGCCAATATAAATAGCACCATCGTGTTCCTGAGCTCAAACTGCATCCAATAGACACCTTTTTTGTTGTAAAATTTTAACTTCAAAATTTGACCTTTTTTGACCTGAAAGTGACCTGACCTAAGCTAAATTTGACTCAAAATGACCTCGAATGACACAGACGACATCAAATTCGAAATGTTTGGCCTAAATGGACCATAAAACATGTGTCACGTGACCGACGGATGATATAATATTTTCGTGACCTGTGATGACCTGACCTTGACCTGAAAATCAAAGTACAAGTTTGGTACCCTCAGAGTATCTAGAGCATCTGTTCACGAGTGTGTGAACCAAAAATGAGCCTGATCTGACTTGTAAGACGGCGGCCAGAGCCCAAAACGTGAAGAAGCCAAAATGCTAATAATTTTTACTTTGACCTGACCTGTGACGTCATCAGTGACCTCGAGGTCAATGAAATTAGGTTTCGTTCGACAGTTTTTCCGGGGCTATCAGACGCCGTTTGAATTTTGACAATCGGCCTAGTAGTTTCGGAGTTAGGAGGGGGGGCTATGAATAGCCCCCCCCCCAGTAGGGCGTGTTATACGCAGACCCCAGTGGGGCGCGGGTTAAGCAATCATCTTCCAGGGTCGTCTTCAGGAACGAAATACCTATTTGTATGTCCCTGCAGCTGACGTTACTTGTATGACTGCGAGTTCTGCGAAGTAGCCAGTGGGCTGTCATTGTGCTAATGCTAATGCAATACTAATTCAATAAATACTTGGGCATTAAGTTCAATTAACGAAGTTTCAGAGATGGCGCTGATAGTGGATACTGATAGAGGCCAGTGTTCAAACGTGTGTGTATGGTGAACTTGTTAAATATATTGAACGGTAACGTGTTTGACTGTCTTTAAACTTTGCTATACTGGCAAGTGGCAACGGGTAATTGACGCAAGTGGTCGCGGATTGTGCATGGGTCTGGAATGGTTAGAGCGAAAGGTTAGATTTTAACTGACTTGGGCTTCACCAAAAATCAGAGACTACATTTCTGATATTGTAAGCGACATCAACCCAAATGGCCTTGTTATTTTTTAGGTCTTCTGCTAGCATAATAGATCATAAGACATTTCTCCATATCCATTTATTTGAACTCTGGTGCCAAGGTGACAATACTTTCAAGGTGTTATATTTTGCGGACGGGACGATACTGGCAGCATACTGGGATACCGAAAACATAACATTCTGTGTGATTCAAAATACGAACCCTTCTGCGCTCCCATTCTAGTTTTCGCCTCACGCTTGCGAATTTTCCGTTTATGTTATTTTATTTTACTTTATTTCATTTCATTTTTATTTCATTTTCTTGCTTCGATCATGCATGCTCGTTATCTCCTTCTATTCTACTTTATCGCTCTAAATATTGCTCGCAATCATTTTCTCACTCTCAGATTGGGCACCATCACTAGACACGCGGAAAGGCTCCGTATGACGTTTGATGAAAATATTCATGTCTTCGTCACGTCCCGTATGCTTTGATGATAAAATACGTTCGGCGACCAAAATTGCTACGCTAAAAATTGTGGCCAAGGGAACGACTATCAATACAGCTAGCATATCGCGAAACGATAATGCTCTGAAGCCAGAAGAGAGTCCGCATTTTTCCATGCCTCGCTTTGGCCACCTCTTCTTGAGACGAGAAATCACTCCCGCACTCCTCATTTTCAGCATCACCTTATTGGCTGCCTGTCGAAGCGATCGTTTTCCCTTGGCGAAGGCGAGGTACCCCTGTCGCGGAAAATCCGTGGTGGTTGGATCATTCAGAGGGACCATGTGAGTGTGACACCCCGCGGATCCAAGAGCGTAATGCATCCGGTCACCATCGAGGAACAAAAGAACCTCGGGCCCGACTAGATGCAGAAGCTCGCGCTGCTCTGCCGCTAGGTTTGCCGGGAGGTAGCGATCTCCTTGAAGCACAAGCTCGCGCACTTTTCGTTCGTCCGTGTTGGCACTTCTTGCCCAGCGGTCCAGATCCTCCGCGCCTGGTTCCATAGCGATCTTCCAGTTGGGGAGCTCCAGGAACTGTCTGAGGGTTTCGATAGGCCTGTGGACGATGGGGACAGTCAGATGGGACATCAGGTTCGCCGTGTAGCTGATGTAGATGATGATACTGAGGAGCCAAGCCACCAGGAACATGATCCTCGCCGATGCTGTCCTTGGGGTAGACACCCAGCCTTGTCTCAGGATAGACATCAGACAGGAGAAGATAGAAGACCCTAAGCTCATGTCTTCGTGTTCGTTTACTTCGCGCTTCAACAGCTTGCGTTGGACACATAGTGAGAGTCCCAGAGCTCCAGCTATTCCCAGTAAAGCAGCAAGCAAGGTCCACCAGACGTACACATGAAGCGGCTTCAGAAGTAGTCCAAACAGCTCGGTCGAGATGCGATGAGCCTCTTCCGTCTGACTGCTCACGAAGAAAGTGTTGTGGTAGGAACTCAGTGGCACTGCGTCCGCAAAGTCAACCACTTTAGCCCTCTCTGGGGTCATGCCGAGCCAGGTGAGGGCGACGTCGGCCCTGCCATAGGCCAGCTCACCCGTCATGCCTCCCCACGTACCGTTTGCGCCCAGGTTCCCGAATCCTCCCGAAAACAGCGGAACGATTCGGTAGTTCAGGCGGAGCTTGTGAGCCAGCATCTGCCATAACTCGAAGATGTAACCGCTGAACTCGAAAGTGCCGTTCGATTGACGATCAATGAAGAAGTAGGGAGGATCGTGGAAAGCTGTTACGGTGAGCTCCTCTGATTGCCAGCTTGGCGATTCGGTCTCCCATTCTTGTCCAAGGACATGAAGAGTAGCGCTTGAGCTCATGTGTAGTGAACGATACCTCTACGATCTATGGGAAGTTACTTTACTCTCAACGAACAAAGGATTGTGATGATAAGCTAAAAGTTGCTAGTCCAGTGGATTGATAGCCAGTACTTCCGCTGCACCAGCTGTCCGCACGTCCATCCACTAAACTGTTCATCCACTGAACTGACCGCACATTGGACTTGGTGACCGTCCACTGGACTGAGTAGACCAACTGCAGTGTCTGTCTACTGAGCTACCCATTCATCAAAATGCCACCTTTCACATAAATGACGTCCACATAGCGGCGGTGTTAGCGGGTCATGCGACCAGAACTCCTCAAGTAACCGCTCTTCTATTTGTTACAGATAATCCATACTGCGAGGTCATGGGTCTCTTTCAGTCTCCCAGCGCCATTAAAAAGATGATCTATCGAAACGATGACGAGTAAATAGAAGTGCAGGTGTTAGAAATTTGAGGAGATATAAAATTGAGTAATCATCTTGTGTTTGGATAATTTCTTTTCACACACACTCGCGCACTGGCCACAACATCTTAAAATTATGGAGCCAAATGCTACCGTCAATTCGGATGCAGGCAGCAGGTACCAAATGTGTCAAGTTTTTGGTACATCCTGACACCATCGGTGAAGATCAGTAGCATCTGACGTCCGACTAGATGCTGATTGCAGAAGTCAATGCTTGCTCTGCGGTCAGATTAATCGAGAAGTAACCATCGCTATGCAGTAGCTTGTCACTTTCTTTCAAATATTTGGACATATGTTTTCAAGACATAAACAAAGCGTAAACGGTGAACCGGGAGGCTCCGAGGCCCTCAGAAAAGATCTTGACTTTCAGTTATCCCGTGGCCCGTGCGGACTGAATGTGCGTCAACACTTCATCATTTGTCATATCGCTCTTTGCCCGTGAAGCCAGCGGCTAAAAGCATTGGCAATGTTGTGGCGTCCCCACGTTCAACATCGAAACCGTTCAGCTACTGAACCGCTGCCTGTCTTTTGTGTTGGAACCGCAGGGCAATGTCAGTGCGAGCATTCTCCTCGTCTACCCCTTCCTTCCTTTTCATCTCTTCCTTTTGTGGTAGGAACATGGGGAGTGGTAGTGTGTACTCGATGTGTGCGAGCGTCATGACTCGCAACTTCAATTTACAAAATCAACTGGGGAACGGTCGTCTTTTGGCGCAAAGTGCGCTGTGCGAGGCCGCTCCGTCGTCTCCTCTTGTTGGTTCAGACAATAAATTGTTCGCCGGTACTGAATGCATTGTCAAGTCAGCACGTAGAGTCTATGGGTGATTGTCGTCGCTATGGCAACGTCCATCTGTTTGTTGGCTGCCATGACGGTGTGTTCAACGTCACATAGCCGTGTTGATGGCTCTTTTCACGCAACGGAATCGAAGGCCGCCAGGACATTATGTGCAGTATTCGGTGTTGGAGCTGATCGTTGTCAGGTATATTCAGAGATTGATAAAATACTTCCTTCGATGATTTTTGCGAGCTGCGGTTACAATGTAAAACAGCATCAACCATCACCTTCCCCCTCCAGCTAACATGCTAGACGAGGACAGTCAGGAAGTTGTGACACACCCCACGGAAGCCCCGCCGTATCGCCGTCCCCTATCTGTCTGCAGTGGCCGGTATGGCAAGTCACGCGGACTCACCATCATTCTCGCCACGTCAGTGGCATAACATATTCTAGAAACACGGCCCCTATGATCCCATACCCACTTTTTGCTTATCATCCACTGGATTTTAGTCCTTAGAGACGCCGGGCAGCGTCGGGCAGCGGTTATAGCCCCGGCCTTGACTATGACCGTCGCTGGTGCCGCCCCTGTCGCCTGGGGCAGTCCGACGCGGGCGTGACTTGCACCTTCCGCCGCCACTGCCGCTGCCGGGTCTACCGCTGTTGTCGACTGACGGGACGCGGGGAAGGACGTGGAAGCGGCGGCTCCCAACGCAGCGTTCTTCAGTGTCTTCGAGCTGTACGCCGCATTCCACTAACAGGTAAGCAGTTACAAGCACTTGAATGTAGGACCGTTCGCTTCTCCTTGCTGATTCAGTTGCGTGCTTCCGTCGCCCGTATTTGGCACGTATTTAACAAGTATGTTATTGACAGAGTTACGGCACTAGGGATGTCCGCTGGTATTTACTGATAGCGTGTTACTGGATATCCACGACTAGTATGATAGCATGCCTGTCAAGTCGATAAGCCGAGGGATTGCGTTGAGAAATGGACGCCTCGCATGGGAACACCGTTTAATTCTATTATATCTCACTGGAATGTATTTGGCCGCGGAGCATGAAATGAGGCTGATCGGCTCTGGAATGTAAATCGTGCGGAGTAGGTAAACATCATCTGAAATCACTGACAAACATCCTTCCCATTCCTATACTTACAGATGTCCTGATCGCAGAAGTACATACATACATACAGCACTCTGGCCACGAGCATGCGAGCGGTGCCCCGCGTGGGTTATCAGACCAGCACCGATGTCATTTGACCTTCACTAGATGACGGAGACTTTCAGAGCTGACCTTCAACCTTCCTATGAAGTTCGAGATAGGGCCGACTGTTGACCTCCATAGTCCATACTCGCCATGGCAGATCGCCAGGACAACCATGACAACAGCCATACGAATTACGAACCATGAAAGTCCCGCCGCGCTGAACGTTCAAAGGCACCGTCAGCCGGTGTGTTTATTGTTTTCAGAAGGGGCGGGGTGGTTGTCGGGAGTCCCAAGTCAGTTTATTCAGGCGCGGTGGGGCCGATAATACTGGGAAAACGTGTTTACATCTGCACCCATGGCTCACAGCCGGGCAAAAATCAATAAATGAGATCATGTGTAAGATACATTACGATCGATCAATACGAGACGACCTGAGACTCGGTATATCAACCACGATGCATCGTTCAATCGATTTTCAAGCTTCTACCCACCGTTGCGTCTGGCCTGCTGCCGAACCGAAATGAGTCCCGGCGCCAAATATGATCAGCACAACAAAAATTATTTTGTATTATAACATCAGAACATGAGCGGAACTGGGACAGTTAACTTATGAAAAACAAATTTCCCAATCCTGTATTCATTTGGGTGGATTTTCTCTTAGAGCTTTTGCGTCTAAAGGTAACAAGACTCAAACCATCCTGGCGGCCTACGCAAATGAACTTCAAACACCCCATTCGACGCATCTAACACCTCATTCTGTTTCATCCTCAGCCAGCGATGGGAGTGGACATTTTCGGCGTGCAGGGCAGCCCGCCGTGCCGGGCCGTCTACCTGGTGGCCAAGGCTATCGGCCTGGACTACACCTTCAACAAGGTAGACATGCAGGCTGGCCAGCACCGGTCACCAGAGTTCCTCAAGATGAACCCGGCACACACAGTGCCTACCATGAAGGATGGCGACCTCTGCTTGGGAGAGAGGTATGTGGGAAGACGCCGGACTCCTTGGTGGCATACGGAGGCGTTGAGTTATCTCGCACTAATGCTTCACACTACATGAGCGATCAACGATATAGTTTCGATGTACGAGTCTTTCCACATAAAGCGGATCGTGTATGCTGTTCTTCAGGAAATGGTCGCGCCGTTGCTGACATACCTCATGTCTCGTCGGTACCCTCGAGTGTTAACCGTCCTCTACCCATTTCCAGCAAGGCCATCATCACCTACCTGATGAACAAGTATGCACCGGAGAGTGAGCTGTACCCCAAGGACCCGGCGGAGCGGGCCAAGGTCGACCAGAGGCTTCACTTCGACTCCGGCCTCTTCTCCAGCATCCGGGGCATTGTGGTAGGTGCCTGATATGCCTCAGCCTGAGAGCTTAGAACTTTGTTTACTTATAAATTACTCTCTAGGTCTCCTTAGTCCTTACCAAGTGCTCACATCTCTCTCAGCTGGGTTATGAACGCAAGCGTTCAGATCAGAAAAAGCTGGCGTTAAAAAGAGCTTGTAATAGTCGGGCTTCGGAGTGTGTCGTTCAACGTCAACTTATGGAACTTTCGAAGGATGAATCTTGCAGAAAAGAGCTTTGCGGCCTCTTCTATAGACAAAGACATGCATGTGGTAGAACTAAGATACCTAGGATAGTGAGAATCACTTCACCAGCATCTTCTCCACCCGCTTTTACAGTTCCCGGTGCTGTTCAACAAGAACCTGGAGGAATTCAAGAAGAACAAGCCCAAGCTGGACGAGAACCTGGACCTGCTGGAGACCTTCCTGGGTCGCTCGCAGAACGTCGCCGGCGAGAAGGTGACGGTGGCCGACCTGGCTGTTCTGGCCAACGTGTCCACCGTACAGGCGGCAGGTCTTCTAGAGAAGGACAAGTGGCCACGCATCAGCGCCTGGCTTACACGACTGCAGACGCAGCTGCCCTACTACAGCGTTAACGTCGAGGGTGCCAACATGCTCGGCGAGGCCGTCAAGAAGGGCATTGCTGAGCTTGGTGCCTAGTGGGAGCGATGTGACCCGGGTTGGATAGACGGTCCGACAGAGCGTATATGACAAGTAGGTATGTATCTCGGTTGTGTGCGAGAGTTTTTAGTTTATTGATGATATTTTCAGGGAATGTCAAAGGTAGTGTAATGACTGTGTTTTGAGATTCCTGCTTGTTTTGTAGGAACTGTTGAAGCCCATGTCAGCTGCCTTTTGCGGATATGTCGGGAGCCAGTCGATTCGCAAAGCACTCGGACTCGGCTGCTGTGGCCTCACCATTCGTCCCGAAATAGGTAAATTGCACAGTGCTCGGTAGATTGATACGTCTAACGATTTTGATAAATAAACTGTGTTTGAATGTTGTGTTTTCCGTCTTGCACTTGCTAGTGCACTGCTCATGTATGTAGGTTCTTTCATAAGTTTTACACTTTTACCCCAAGTGTGAGAAAGGGCCCAGCTCTGCAGTACCAAGTTCCACCGGCGCAACCGTCAGGCGTCAACCGACCAGCCTACAACCGACAATCTGTCGTGCACTTGTTTGATCCGTCACCTGGTGGATTTGTGGCCTGTCGGTTTTGACTGGTCTCACTTCTTCTCTTTTCAACCCAAGGTTCTTGAGGCCGCAGCTGGTCATATCAAAGCTGGAGCTGGACCCGAGTCACGTGAGGGCTTAACATATTGCCCGTGGGCCATAGGTATTACTGGTACCGGGCAGGAGAACCGCCCAGCGATGGAGAACCGCCCAGGTGTAGGAACAGCCATGCCCCCTGTGGTATCCTGAGCCGTCCCCCCTCCGACCGCGGCTGGGACCGCCCGTGGCTAGGCCGGTGCGGCGGCCGGAGATGCGCATGCGTGGGCCGGCGCGGCGGCCGGAAGTGTAGGCAGTCGCCGCTGAGCCCTGGCCGCGTGGGCATGTGTCTGGACGGGGAGCCGGCACGGGGGAGTCCCGTGCCGGGTGTGTCGGACTAATACAGAAGTGTGCCATTCCGAACCGCTCTCGGGCCAGGTGTCGCACAGCTGAGTAACGCGAGGCGAGGACAGAACCACGACAGAACAACCTGGCGACAAGGATGAGATGTCTCGCGAGTGTTTTGTGCGCGGTGGCGGGCGAGAGCGGATGGGCACGGAGGACGAACGGTGAGATGCGGAGCGAATTGCTAATTGCTTAGTGCTTAGTTTTTTTTTCGCTGCTGCATGTGTTCGGTTTGCCCGTTGCTCGATGGTAACATGCGTGCGTGTTTTCGCCGGATTTTGGCAGCGGCCATGTTGCGCGGTCGACGCGGTGGCTGGCGTCGGCGGGCTGCGCTGTGATTGGGCCGGCCGGTGGTGACGTAAGACTCTCACGGTGCGTGTGATTGGTCGGGACTCTCTGCTCGGTGACGTGACTGTGGCGTCACGGTCACGTGACTCCCCCGCCGGAGAAAGCGCGGGAACCGCCAGGAACCGACAGCGGCGGCGCCAGTGACCGGCGGCCGGGCGGTTGGGGGAGAGGAGAGGAGTGGAGAGTGACGGTCGGGAGAGGACCGGAGTGGAGAGTGACGACCGGGTGCGTCGAGAAGGCCGGGATAGCGACGACGGCCGGAGTCCGCGGCGGCGGTCGGGGTGTTGTGATCGGGGCAGGCAGCTCAGCCCGGGATCAGGATGAACAGCACGGGACTGTCGATTTCGGCGGTGGAGCCGTTTCGGCAGGGCGACGACTTCGGCCGGTGGTTGCGCGGTGTCGAGCGTTACCTGTGTGCGGTCGGGGTCCAGGAGGCCGACCGGAAGTGTGCGGTGCTGTTGCACCTGGTCGGGCCGGATGTTGCCGACCTCAGCGAGACTCTGCCGGAGGAGACGAGCGAGACGGCCGACAGCTTCGAGCGGCTCAAGAGGAAGCTGACGACCTACCTGTCTCCGGTCAGGAACGCGGTGGCAGAGCGCTCTCTGTTCCACGGGATGCAGATGGAGCCGGAAGAGGACCTGGAGAGGTTCCTGGGCCGTCTGAGAGCGCAGGTCGTGCGCTGCGGCTATGCAGCCACTGAAGTGGACCGGGAGCTGCGCGATCGGTGCGTGCTGGGGAGCCGAGCCGGTCTGCGGGCCAAGCTGGTAAAGCTGGCCGCCTCGAAGGGCGACGGTTTGACCCTGGCCGAGGTACGGCAGACGGCACGCGCGCACCAGGACATGGAGCAGCTCGGTGCTCAGCTGGGCGGCACGCGTTTGGCCGAGGCACCGGCAGCAGGCGCTGAGGGAGCCGTCAATGCCGTGAGGTCGCCCCAGTCACGGCTCGGAACCTGTTTCCGGTGCGGCGCTGCGGGGCACTGGCAAAGAGACTGTCCTGCTGCGGGAGCTGTGCCGCGCGCCCGTGACAGCCGCTGTCCGGCTGGCCAGGCGGCTAGCGGCGGACGCAGCGGAGCGGCCGGAGAACACGGCCGGGGCGCGCCGGGCAACAGCGGCAGCGATGGAGGGCCCAGGCAGCGGCGATGCTTCAAGTGCGGCTCCACCGGGCACCTGAAGGCGGCATGTCCGCAGCGGCGGGTGCGGCTGGTGGCTGCGGAGGAGGAACAGACGGACGGCGACGGCGACGCGTGGCTGGTGAGCTCAGTCGACGGCGACGCGTGGCTGGTGAACTCAGTCGAAGCCAGCGTCGCGGAGCCGGCAATGAAGACGGTGACGGTGAACGGCCAGCAGCTGGCCATGGTCGTGGACACGGGGAGCCCGGTGTCGCTGGTGAGCGCGGAGACAGCGCGGCAGCGGGGACTTCTGCAGCTGCTGGACCCGTGTGACCTGCGCCTGACCTCGTTCACAGGTCAGGTCATTCCCTTGAGAGGGGAGGCGCTGGTCAGCGTCACGGCGTCGGGAAGACATGCGACCCGTCTGCGGCTGGTGGTGACCGGGCTGGGACCCCACCGCCCGCTGATGGGACGCGAGTGGCTGCAGGCGCTTGGTCTGATGACGTCATCGGCTCGGGTGTGCCGCGTGCAGCCGGCGCGGACGCTCAAAGGCGTGCCGGAGAGGCAATCAGCTGTCTTCAACGAGGAGCTGGGACGCATCCCGATCGAGGGAGGACTGCGGCTGAAGTCGGACGCCAAGCCGGTGTACCGGTGGGCGCGCCCGGTGCCGCTGGCGCTGCGAGACGCCGGTGGAGGAATCGGACGCCGGGACACCGGCGGGAGCAAGGAGCGACGGGAAGACAGCGGGCGCCGGGATGCTGGTGGACGTCGGGACGACAGCGGGCGCCGGGATGCTGGTGGACGACGGGATGACAGCGGGTGTCGGGACGCTGGTGAGCGTCGGGGCGCTGGTGAGCGTCGGGGCGCTGGTGAGCGTCGGGGCGCTGGTGAGCGTCGGGGCACTGGTGAGCGCCGAGACGCTGGTGAGCGTCGGGACACTGGTGAGCGTCGGGGCACTGGTGAGCGCCGAGACGCTGGTGGACGCCGGTGCGCTTGCGAAGCCGGCAGGCGCCGGTACGGCGGCGAGAGCAGGAGGTGCCGAGACGATGGCGGGCGCCGGTGCGCTGGCGGAAGTGGCGGGCGCCGCGGCGATGGCAGGCGTCGGGGCTCTGAGGGAGCCGGAGGCCGCGCGGGTGACCTCAGGACCGGAGGTCGCGCTGGTAACCACGAAGGAGTCGGCGGCGCCGGGAGCCAAGTCGTTTGCGACTGCGGCGGCGCCGGGAGCGGAGTGCGTCGGGACGGCGGCGGCGCCGGGAGGCGAGTCCGCCTGGACCGCGGTGGCGCTCGACGCCACTACGCAGCACTCCGAGGCAGCGCGGAGCGGCAATGGACGGCAGCCGGCAACCGAGGGAGAACGTTCGGAGTCGGTGCGGAAGAGGGGCCCGGTGCTACGGAGGGCCACAGAAGTGGATCCGCGGCCGGGTTGTGACGCGGACCGGACCCGTCTCGTACGAGGTGGATGTCGGCAGAGGCAGTCTGTGGTCGCGCTACTGCGACCAGCTCCTGTCGGCGGCGCCAGGCAGCACCGCTCTGGCCGGCGAAGGCCGTGATGAGGCGAAGCTGCGGAGCCGGCAGACGGAGGTGAATCCGGGGAGCCGGCGGGCGGCGACGGATCCGGGGAGCCGGCGGATGGCAGCGGATCCGGGGAGCCGGCGGGCCGAGGCAGGGCTGAGGAGCCGGCGGGCCGAGTCAGATCCGGGGAGCCGGCGGACGGAGGCGGACCGATGGAGCCGGCGGACGGGAGGTGGATCCGGGGAGCCGGCGGACGGAAGACCCGACGCTGTCGAGTCGGCAGACGGCAGAAGAGACGAGCCGGCGGAAGACTGAGGGGCCGGAGCAGCCGAGTCGGCGGATGTTGACAGCGGCGAGCCGTCAGACGACAGAGGAGACGGAGCTGTCGAGTCGGCAGACGGCGGCGGAGACAGAGGAGACGGGCCGGCAGACGACGGAGGAGTCGGACGGTCCGAGCGGGCCGACGGCAGTGGAGGCGAGCCGGAAGCTGACGGACGACGGAGGAGCAGGAGCCATCGGGCCGACGGCGGACGGCAGAGGCGAGCTGGCGGGAGGCGGAAGAGCCGGAACCGGAGAGCCTGCGGGCGGCGGAGGAGCCAGTGCTGGTGGGCCAGACTTCAACAGACTAGCGTCGGAGGCGGAGGCCGGACCGACCGGTCGGGCTGGCAGCCCACGGCGCCGCGCGCAGCCGGGCATTCCGCGCCGCTCGACGCGCAGAGGTGGTGCTCGCAGTCGGAAGTGTCTCTGTGGCGGTGTGTGGTTTTTTTATGCTGATGGGCACTGTTCGGCGCGCAGTGGTCTCGCTCGATTGAGTTTGTGCGGCGGGAAGAAGTTGTTTTCTGTGTGAGCAGTGTACGTTTTTATTGGTTCTTCTCGTGCGCGTCATTTGTGTTTATGTAAAGGGGGGTGAGGTGTGGTATCCTGAGCCGTCCCCCCTCCGACCGCGGCTGGGACCGCCCGTGGCTAGGCCGGTGCGGCGGCCGGAGATGCGCATGCGTGGGCCGGCGCGGCGGCCGGAAGTGTAGGCAGTCGCCGCTGAGCCCTGGCCGCGTGGGCATGTGTCTGGACGGGGAGCCGGCACGGGGGAGTCCCGTGCCGGGTGTGTCGGACTAATACAGAAGTGTGCCATTCCGAACCGCTCTCGGGCCAGGTGTCGCACAGCTGAGTAACGCGAGGCGAGGACAGAACCACGACAGAACACCCCCCCCCCTTTCAGCCATTTTTGTGAAATATTTATTTTCGATTTAAATACAAAACTAAGAGCAGGAAATGGTTCAGCAAGGTGAGATGCGCACAAAACTACAAAGAATTTATTCATAGGGGTATTGGCCTGGGGCAGTGGGGCTCCCGTAAAGTGGCGTTGAAGTTTCACAGCCCCCCCCCTGTTCCGACTTTCGGGAAAGAATGTGGGTTAAAATGACGGTTTCTATTAACTCCATTCAACACCAAAGCATCAGAGCCGGTTCAACAGCGACTACATGATCATTGCAGCTTTAGTTTACATGATTGAATAGGTTTTAAACTGTTCCGAGCAAAATTAAGCCACATTTACCACTTAACTCATTCTATGGCATTTTCACGTATATGCAAACAGGTAAATCAGTGCCGTTCTTCCTTTACATGATTTACATTCGCTCGTTCTCACTGCAACTAAATATCGCTGAACACATATTTTCTCGCGGCTTTCCAGATGAAATACCTCCGGCTTGAGATGACGGACCACTAAATAAAAACACGGATAAATTGTCGGCTAGTCGCAACACTCCCCCCAGTGTTCTACTGGGTAGAACACCAATAATACGTGCGACTACTGGCCTATATGACATGACACGAACACTGCCCTTTAGTCCATTGATTTGCAGCATGCACATCCTCCAACTTACTGCCCGAGCGCTCAAGCTTTCAGCTCAGCTCCACTCCCGCTTCACTGGGATCTCTCACAACTTTCCAAGAAGCAAACTTTGTTTGCCGGACGACGGTAGACGGATCCTCTTGCCGTCTGCAGCGACACTGAGCGCACTCGACCATCATCGCTTGTGGTTACTTCTGTGATCCTCGCCAGCGGCCAGTAACCTCTGGGCGACTCTTGATCCACCATGAGGACGACATCACCAACTTGTAGATCTCGGGTTTCACGCACCCACTTCTTCCGTTGAATCAGCAGTGGTAGGTATTCTTTCTGCCACCTTCGCCATAGCTGATCGGCGAGTGCTTGGGACTGCCGCCACTTTCCACGGCCGAGGACATCACTTTCAGCGAAGATGCCAGGCGGGAAGGCGGCCTCCGGGTAGCCCAAGACGAAGTGGTTCGGAGTGAGGGGCTCCGGGTCACCAATGTCCGTGCTGACATAGGTCAGCGGACGGCTATTGAGTACAAACTCAATCTCCGTCAGTACAGTACACAACACTTCTTCTGAGACGCACTGGTTTCCGAGCACGACCCGCAGAGCACGCTTGACCGAGGATACTAGTCGCTCCCACACTCCTCCCTTGTGGCTTGCGTTAGGTGGGTTGAACCGCCAGTCAATCTGTCTTTGGCTGAGTTCATCGACGATCTTCTCCTGGTTCCATTCATCCAAACAGACCTTGAGCTCCTTCTCTCCTGCCACTAGGTTGGATCCGTTATCAGACCAGACGACACGTGGCCGTCCGCGGCGGGCGACGAAGCGCCTAAACGCCATGAGAAAGCCGTCTGTGTCCATGGAGCTGACGAGTTCCAGATGCAAGGCCCGAGTCGCGAGGCACGTGATCAGCAGGATGTATCGTTTCTCAGTCTTGCGAAACTTGCGAACCGTCAGCGGCCCACAGAAGTCGAGTCCGACGCATGCAAACGGCTTCGTCATGTCGAATCGACTCGCCGGCAGGTCTGCCATCATTGGCGTCTGAGGCTGCGCTCTTCTGTTTCTGCAGAATGCGCATCGGTGTAGCATCTTCCGCACAGTTGATCTCGCCTTCGGTATCCAGTATTGGAGTCTCAACTCACTGAGTGTGTGTTCCAGACCAGAGTGCATGACGCGCTGGTGTACATCAGTCACAATTAGTCGGATGATGTCTTCGTCCTTACCAAGCAGGACTGGATGGCGACAGGTTTCTGGCACCGGCGCGTTACGAAGCCGCCCTCGGGCTCTCAGCAGGCCTTGTTCGTCTACGTACGGGGAGAGCTGATGTAAGATGCTTTCTGTCGGCAGTCTAGATTTGCTAGCAGCAGCTTGCAGTTCGGCGGGATATGCGGACTTCTGAGCTTCTTTCAGAACAAACATCTCGGCGGATTTGAGTTCTTCGGCAGTTAAAGGCCCACTGACCCGCATGCCGCTTCCCTTACTTTGTTTGGCGTTCTTGGTGAAGCGAAGAACCCATGCCACGGTACGCTTGTACTTCACCCACGATGAGTGTCGAGCTGGGTCTAGCAATGGTCCATCGCTGTGGTGCGCCGCAAAGAAGACTTCACGTGGAGCCTTCACCTCCTCATCTGCTGCGGTCAAGGTGGCCGCGACTTCTTCCTCAGAAGGCCATCTCTTGCGATCTTCAGTCAGGAATGCTGGTCCCGACCACCACAGGGTGCACGTTTTGAGCTGTGAGCCAGACAGGCCACGAGAGCACACGTCTGCGGGATTTATCTCACCCGGCACATGCCGCCACTGACTTGTTTCAGAGGACTCATGAATCTCTGAGATCCGGTTGGCGACGAAAGTATGAAAACGTCGGCTTTCATTTTTCAGAAACCGAAGTACGACGGTACTGTCTGTCCATAGTAGAGTTTCATCAACACCAGTAGCCAGCTCCCGTGTGATGAAGTTGGCGAGCCGCACCCCCAGCACGGCCGCTTGTAGCTCGAGCCGAACTATAGTTAGTTGCTTCAAGGGCGCCAGCCGAGTCCGGGACATGAGGAAGGAGGTGATGTGCTTGCCATCAGTACACGACATTCTGAGGTATGCCACGGCTCCAAAGGCTCGCTCAGACGCATCGCAGAAGATGTGGAGTTCCCGGCGCATCACTTGACTATCCTGCGCAAAGCCGGCTTTGTAACATCGGGATATCTGGATATCTTCGAGGTGAGGAATTTCCATCAACCATGCCTGCCAAGCGTTCAACTCTTCTCCACTCAGTTCCTGGTCCCAGTCCAGTTGCAGCTTCCATAGGTGCTGGACAAGAAGCTTCGCTCTAAAGACAAAGGGAGTCACGATGCCCAGCGGGTCGAAGACCATCGACAACTTACGCAGCACCCCTCGTTTTGTCGCCGGAACATCTGCAGCAGACACTTGGACTGCCATGACATCACTTGCTGGATTCCAGACACAACCAAGAGCACGCTGGGTGCTCTGGCCGAGAGAGCCGATGTCAAGACTTGCAGCACCTCGATCTTCACTTGGAATCTCTCGCAGCACCTCTTCACTGTTGCTGCACCACTTCGCTAATCGGAATCCACCCTTAGCGACCAGCTTAGTCACCTCCGACTGCAGAGTCTTTGCTGTCGAGACGTCTTTCACCGATGTCAGCAGATCATCCATATAAAAATTGTTTCTCACGGCGTCAGCAGCAGCCTTTGACTCAGGCAAATCCGTTTCGTGATCAGCAGCTGTTCTCAGAAGAGCGTGATTTGCCAAGGTCGGGCTACATTTTGCTCCAAAAATCACGACCGTCATCTGGTAGACATCAGGAGGCTTGCTTTGGTCCAGGTTTCGCCAGAGGAAACTCAGAGCCGGCTGGTCCTCTTCAACCACTCGAACTTGGTGGAACATCTGTTCTATGTCTGCGACTAGAGCTACTCGTTCCTCCCTGAAGCGCAACAGGACACCAACCAAGTTCCGGAGGAGGTCTGGGCCGGTTAACAAGACATCGTTGAGAGATACGCCAGAGAACTGGGCCGCTGCGTCGAACACAACTCGCACTTTGGTCTTGTTTGCGCTGACCACCGCATGGTGCGGTAGCAGCCATCTCTTGTCTCTGTTCTTCAACAGTTCTTCCGAGGAGACCTTGCGAGCGTGATTCTTTGCGACATAGCCCATCAGAGCTTCTTCGTACGCTGCTGCTCTCGTAGGATCCCGCGACAGGCTCCTCTCCAGCGACTCCAGTCGCCTCTCTGCCATCTTGCGATTGTCAGGCATCTTCGTGTCTTCTTGTTTCCAGAGGAGTCCTACTTCGTAGCGACCATCTTGCAGCTTCGTGGTGCTATCGAGCATAGTCTGGGCTCGAGTGTCCTTCTGAGAATAAGACGCCTGGCCTTCAAACATGCTCCCAAACGACTCAGTCGTCCACCAGTCGCTTATCGCTGCGCACAACTGGGACTCCTCAGATGAGTGATGAATCAGCATAACATCACGCATCTGTCCGGGAACGAGTCCAGCTACAGAGCCTGTCAGTGTCCAACCGAACACAGTTCTGATCGCGACAGGGTCACCGGGGCTGCCGGTTCTCACTTCTAGCTGTAGGACCGCCTCAATCACGTTAGCTCCGAGTAGGAGTTCCACCTTGCGCCCACGGCAGTCTGGCAGCTTCAGATCATGCACATGCCGCCACTGTTTTGCAGGATAATGCGGCACAGTAAGATTGATCTCCTTTACTGAGAAGGCTTCTGGCACTGAAACAGAGTAGACTTCCTCTCCCTCAGTCAGCAGATTTAACTGCAGACGTCTCGTGCGCTGCTGGGAGCCATTCCCTTCAACATTTCTCAGTCGCAAAGTTTGGCGCTCCCCCTGGAGTCCGAGTTCTTCCACGACATCTTCTGCAACGAGAGAAGTTTGTGATCCTGGGTCTAGCAGCGCACATACCTTCCTGGTCTTGCCGTTCTGGCCGACGACGGTGACCTCCACAACCTGGAGAAGAGTAGTGACCTGTTCCACAGGCAGTGACGACGCAGCAACCACCCGTTGGCCATCAGGCTCTGAGCTCGGCACCGACCGGCTGGCCTCTGTACCGAGACCGACCCTCCTGCTGCCGTGCAACACCAGATGGTGCCTCATTTCACAACCCTCGATGCCACATCGCCTTGCAAAGCGGCACTTTCTGACGGCGTGACCTGTTTTTAAACAGAAGAAGCAGGCACCTGAGCTAGCAACAAAGGCAGCTCTCTCATCCACTGACTTGCTGAGGAATGCGGGGCATACAGTAACGTCATGGGCAGCTTCACAGCAGATGCAAGTCTTGCCGGCTCTGTTCTGTGCTTCAGTCGCCAGAGCCGTCCGCTGAAGAGCATGTTCTCCACTGGCTCCCTGCGTCTTTGCTTCACGCTTCCTTTCGGCTGACCGCCCTCCATGCTGTTGAGAAACAGCCGCGAAGTTCAGCGCGATCCTGACCTGTCTGCACAGCCAAGAGTCTAGATGGAGCAGGCTGGGCTTCTCTGGTTCGAGGTTTAAGACATGTTCACCCCACTCTCTCTTCAGTTCAGTCGGTAGCTTCTCTACCACACGTCTCAAATTCTCATAACTGTACAGGTCACCGTCATGCCCCAGACTCTGGAACACTACTACAGCGCAGTGGACTGTGGCTTCAAACTGTTCCAGGCTGGCAGGATCGAGATGAGAAGGTGCCGGACAGGAGAAGATGCTGTCGAGGTTGGAGTGGATGATGTCATCATCTCGGCCGAATCTGTCCTTTAGTACTCTAACTGCCTCCTCATACAGCTCCCCTCTATACAGCATCCCTCCGATGGTCCTCTGGGCCAAGCCAGTGACAGCGGCCTGCAAATGAGCCATTTTCTCCGTGGGGGTCAGAGCTGGCTGGTCATGGACCAAAGTGCGGAACAAAGCAAACCAGTTCACCCACTCGCTCGTGTCGCCGGCGAATGTGGGCAGAGTGAGTCTGGGGAGGCTGCGATGGAAAAGATGCTCAGGCTGGTAGACAGGGGCAACTTGCACCGGAGCAGCTGCACCCGGGGTAGAGTACCGTCTCGCATCCTCAGGCATGGGACGGCAAAGCACGACCGGGTCGGGTGGATCACTGCTTACCACTGAATGGGCTGGTCTGGGAGGACTAGTTGGACGCTGCGGCACTGTCTCTGCTACACCCGGAGTAGAACATCGTCTCTTGTCATCAGGCGTAGGATGGCGAGGCACAGCTGAGTTAGGCGAGTCGCTGCTTGTCACTGGATCGGCTGGTCTTGAACTAGCTTGATTAGCTGGACACTGAGACACTGACTCTGCTTCCACGGGGCGGCACTCATAATCCACTGGGCACAGAACAGCTGGCTCCCCGACAAAGTCGTCCCTCCGCTCCCAGCTGAGACCTCCCTCTGCGTCCTTCAACAGCCGCTCTTCCAGCCGTGCAGATGCTTCCGCATCTTCAGCCTCCTGAAGCTGGCGTCTTCTCCTCATATCCTGTTCTTGCTTCTCCAGCTCCAGTCGTCGCCGAAGCTGTTGGAGCTCCAGCTGCCTCACCTGTGCTGTTATTCGCGCCCTGCCGGGGTCAGTAGCCTTAGATGAGACGCGACTCTCTGCAGTCACTGAAGGCGCTTCGTCCTTCCTACCTGCCAGGTGCTCCTGAATGCGGACCACAGCAGCCTCATGCTGCTCTCTTACATCCTTCATATAGAGTTCGGCAGCCTGCAATTCGCCTTCCTCCTTGAGGCTGGCCACATACTTGCCGTTTGCTTCTTCGATTTCTTCCAAAGCCACATCAAGTTCTTTGAGCGTCTCGGCGAGTTGAGTTCGGCTGCCTTTACTATCTATGAGAATCAATGCACGTCTCCTTACTCTTGTTAGCTTGCACAGCCTTCTACCACGCACGGATTTCAACGTTTTCGTCTCGTCCATGTCTTGTATCTGTCTTCCAATTGATTGCACAATGCACAGTGCACGGAGTTTAAAACTGTTCCGACTTTCGGGAAAGAATGTGGGTTAAAATGACGGTTTCTATTAACTCCATTCAACACCAAAGC